GGCGCGCGTCGGTGCAGAGTGATCTTGTGGCCCCAGAGTCTCACATGCGCGGCCTGTCGCTTGATCAAAGTCTTCGACGATTCACCTTGTCTGCTCAAAAACTCAGACACGGAATTTCGCGACATCGTCTCAAGGCTTGCTGGAATCGGGCTGCCAGGCCTAGAGTTGCGGGGTGCTGAGACGGATCGATCAAGCACAGGGTTCAACGACGCTACTGCTTTCTTGACCCTGGCGCGAGAAGGATTGATGAAAGCACTCCATTTTTTCTTGAGGCTCGCTGGGCTAAGAGGGTTGCTTAGGGTATCAGCGTCGCTACTGCGGCTTCTTCTTGGTGCGGCACGCCATACGTTGAAAGCGTCAGACCTGGACTTTGTGAGCATCAACGGCCGTGAGAACGAGCTGGTGGGGCTTGGACTGAAGTGAAGAGGAAAACGCTCCGGACTGGATCCCGCAGGGCTCAGTGCGGACTGGTCGCCCAACGCAGACCGTGGACGCGTCTTGGTGAACGTTCGACTCGCCCACTTGAAGAATGCCTTCGGCCCGAAGCCGCGGCGTTGCAAGCGTGCTGAACTTGACTGAGCCTGAATGCGTGGTGTGTCATCCTGTGCAGCGGTGCAAAGGAATGCAAACGCACTGTAAGAAATCAAAAGTGCTGCGGCAAGACCATGGTAGGCCAGCAGAGTTCGCCGCATCTTGGCCAGCGAAACTCTGAGTCTCCTTTAGCGCGCCGGCCTAGGGAGCAGAAGTCGATTTGTTCGTTGAGTTGTGTTTCAGCTCGCAAAAGGCTGTTTGAAAGTCGGCGTGCTGTCGGAGGCCTGCTCAGATACTTGACCCGAACGAAGTTTGTAGAATAGCGAGAGCCAGTGACCAGCACTGACAGAGGCGAATAAAAGATGCTCGAGACGGGACAAACCCCTGGCAGTGGACGCTCCAAGACGATTCAAGGAAGGCCTTATTTAAATGTTTCGTGGCGACATCCCGGTCGGACACGCATTCACGATTCTTCATTTCGAAGCCGCCTTGTGTCGATCTGTCTGCGCTAGTTCGCGGCCCGCGTGGCGGCCAGGAGGTCAGGAGCCAAATCACTGCATAGTCCAGCTGCCCCCGCATCTACTCGCAGCAATCAGCTTCCGCCATCCAGAAGTGGCGTCATCACTGATAAGGAATCACCAATGGCTTGGCACGCGGGTACTCGCAAGATAGACCCAGTGGCAACTGAGTCGTGCCTGCCACGTCTGCGACCATGAACTCGCCGAGACGGTTCATCTCCGCCCTTCGTTGTGAACCAGCGGGTGAAGGCGGCCGTCAATTTGCGATCGTCCGCCCAGCGCATGCACGCGGTGTTCTCTTTTCTGCAACTCGTAGATGAATGATAGAGAGGCGAGCCCTCCGGTTGCCAAGCCGCGTAGAGGCAATCTCCAACTGCCAAGGGCGACTTTGGGCGCCCATACGCGTGGTCCGGCTTCGACTGCTTACGTGGACCGCATAGGACAATGTCTAGCTGGCTACGAAAGCAGACCCTTGATGCTTGAGGCTATGGCGGTGGTGCTTGACGACTAGCCTGATGGCAAAAGGAAGAGGTGCAGGGAAAGCGCGCGGCAAGAAGAAAGTTGGATGACTGAAACGGCCCGCGTACCGGCGGGGCGCATGCGGCGGTGAGCATTTCACTCGGCGCAGGAATGCGAGTCCTGCAGACGGACCGGAATGAAAGCGTTTTCTTGCATTTCTTTCGCCGAGGCCAGCTTCCCAATGTGCCCTTCTTACTCATGCAGCTTCGCCACCTTGTCTCACCAGCTGTGGTCGTCCGTGGCGGATGTGGAGCATGCTGAGCAACGCCAATCTCCTGCCGGCGTGTCTCGCCTAGCGAGCTACGGTCCCTTGTTCGGTAAATTCAGTCCTCGAGCCGCATTGGAGGGCCAGTGCGACCTGCGATACACCAGAGCTCGGACGAGAGATCAGGGCGTGTCAGCTGCTTGTTGACTCACACTCAAGAACGCATCTGAGATGCTTCGCGTGGTGTTGCCCTGGATTTTCATGCCTTCAATCCACCGCACCGCGACGGCCATAAGCTGCCGTACAGCTTACAGCGTTGCCAAAATGCCATCGCGAAGAGATTGGAAAGTGACGAGCCTCATAGGGCACACGGGCAGTGAGTCATCCAATGACGTCGCGGAGAACAGCGCAGCTGAGGGACAGTCGGATGTCGCGCATGAGCATCAATTGACTCGGGCTGAGCTTGCGGAAAAGAGACACCGCCTAGTGATGGTGAGTACATGCGCAATTTCACGTAGACGAAAGGCGATGATTCGCATCAACAAATGAACCATCTCAGACAGGTTCGGGTGAATTTTCTGTGGCTTCCTGGTCGACCTTGACATCTGATCCGATATCCAAGCCCAGAAGCGCCTTATTGCCTTCCGCATTGGTGGTAGCCGCAACTTGCGTCTGATCAGACGCCGTGCGCGCGCTTAATGAGTCAACCGTTTGGGCAGTCTCTGCGCTTAGTTGAGACGCATCCGATGTGGCCGGCGAGCTGCTGCTGCTGATGTCATCATCCGAAGTCGCAGAGGAAGCAATACTCTGGGACGGCAAGTCGGGCAGGTCGAGCTCATCTGGGATGGCATCACGAACAGCAGCGAATCTTGCGGAATCTGGCTCGTCCTTTGATTCCGACTCCTGACTGGTGGCCGTCATTGATCCACCTAAGCTAACAGGGAGGCCCTCCACCCCTTCAGTAGAGGCAGCACCGAGCTCGTCGACCTGTGCGCCAGGCGCAACTGCTTCAGCCGCCGCTTCCGCCTCGGCTGCAGCTTCTTCAATTGTGAGATCTGGCGATTCCGAGATGTTCTCCTCATCAAAGACAGGTGCAGTGTCCCTGACTGGCAGCTCGAGCTCGTCATCTTCGAACAAAGGTCGACTCAGCGTCTTCGAGGGGGAGATAGATCCTGCTCGCGCCACAAGCGCAGCGGGTATGGCACGTACGGGGCTGGTGCTCATGCTGCTGATGGGAGGAGGAGGGCCGTCAAGTTGAGGTGGTCCGCCTGCTCCGCCCGGAGGGATCAATGTAGGGCCAGTCGCCCGTCCTGTAGGACTCATCGGTGCAGCCCTTGCTCTCAAAGGCGAGCGCGGGACAGAATCCGCGGAAGAGGGAGAACCGATCGTGTAGGTCTCCGTTGCCCGAGTTGGGGGAGAAGACGGGTCTGCTGGTGCGGTGACGCTGCTGCTCCTCCTGCCTTTGCGAGGCTGGCCAAGGCTCAGTTGGGCACTTGTGGGCGGCTCTGCTGGTAGTTCAGGCATCTCAGTAGCAATCTTGAGCAGCTCGCGCAACTGTGCGTTCTCATAACGCAGTCGCTCTTCTTCCGTTGTGTCTTCTAGGACTTTTGCAGAGCGAGCTGCATCCGGGTCACCAGCCGTGCCGGTATAACCACCAGTTCCATGCCATTTGGGATCGGCGCTCGGAGCGCTACCGTATCCGCGACTCTCGGTATGATCCGAGGTGCTTTGCGAAATTGAGCCAGGTCCGGCTGCGCCGGATGCAGGGCTTGTCGGTGAAGGAGAGGTGGACACCTCACCATCTAGAGTACGCATAGCAAGACGCACTAAGGATCCCATCTCGCTGAGACGACTCGACACGGCTGTCGATTCGGACAAGTCTCGGCTGGATTGGTCTTCTTCTGCTTGTGAAAGGAGCGACTCGTAGTGAGATGTGAGCTGAAGTGTGTGCGATTGAGTTGCGTGCTATGTCGATGCGGGCGTGTGCATCAGTGGGTGAGCACATAAACAACCGCACCCGGCACGAACGATCCACGCTCACGGAAAAGGACCTGAAGCGACCCATGATAGTTTCCAAGGTCTGCTCGTATTCCCTCAGCAGCAAATTGAGCTGCTTGTTTTCGTGGGCAAGTGTCTGATTCTCAACTACTAGACTGGCGTTAAGCTTTTCCAAATTTGATTCAAACTTTTCCTTAGAAATGTCCAGGTTGAATCGACGAAGCGCATATCCGGTGTTATTGTGGAGCGCTTGTCCCTGGGTGTGCATGCGACGGACATTCCTCAGCTCCATCTCAAGCGACTCTGGCTCCGTCACCTCTGACGCACCTTGAGCTCATCGACTCTTGCTTGCAATTGAGCGGCCACCTCTCTATTTGTCGTTAGCTGCTGTGAGAGCTCCCCAACAAGCAGCCAAAGACGTTGATAGTCATCACCTTCGACTAGCGTCATGACTCAAGCTTGCGATGAGTAGTACGCGATGCTGGCGGCGGGAGGACGGAAAGCTAACCACCGACGGAACCGATCGGCTTATATCGGGTTGCGTCCTGATGTGGCAGTCCTGGAATGGCGCCTGACCAGCAGCTGACTTCGTTGTCCGGAAAGACGTCTGTCAATCTGAAGAATGGCGGTACGACAGGTTCGAAAATGGCGAAGCTGGACCAAATGGCAAGGCTTTCGTGAATGGAGGGACAGTCACAGTCAGTCACGAGTTAGTCAAGAGTACGGCCATCGCACCGCACTCACGACTTGAATCACGGAGTTGCTGGTGACATCGCGACCACTTTATCGTACGAGAAATGCGGGCGGGCTTCTTGCTTGCTTTCTGCATGCATGCAATCGTGAGTTGAGCGCTGTAGCAATCACCCTCGCGTGTAGAGCGGGGCATCATGCAGCAACAATCGTGAAGCAATCATGAGAAGAGGACGCGCGCGCTGATACCGCGGTATGGTACCTCGATCCTGCCGTCTGACGAGTCGCTTCTCGCTTTGGGACATCCCCGCGCCCAGCGGTATCGTGCTCTCTCCTCAATGGCACAGCGAGCTCTTAATGAGCGAGTGTCAGGCGCTCAATCACCACCAGAACGGCAAAGATGAGCGATCCTCCCGAAGAGCGAGATGACGCTGGGCCCTCACGAAGCCCGACTACGCCTAGGGTCGCATCATCTAGCATCACCAAAAACGTCACAATAGCTACGTCCTCGGCTGCTCCCTGTGCAACATCAGCAATGATCAACAGCAACGGCTCTGCCGCAGACACTCCCGATGTCATTCTGGAGCGCAGGATCCCGATCTATGTCCGATTCGTGCCCCGCGACATTTGGTTACGAATGCATGTCGACCTTGCCAGCACAATCTCGGCTGTCAAAGACGCGGCCTTGGAGAGAGCCGGAGTGCCTTTTGAAGATCCTACAATGAATCCAGGATTCTTCGAGGAAGTTACAAATGCCTCTGCCCTCGCTTCAATGTCAAAGAGCGGATTGGGTCTGCCTCCAGAGGTCTCGACGCTTCCAAGAGGTTTCTTAGCTAGACGGCCTGGCTTCATCGGCTCGGGCAATAATGGCGGCCCAACACTCGCTCTGTGGGACTCGTCTGTACCAATCAGCTCACCTCGCCACAAGACCAAGGCAGCCTCGACCGCATCTGCTGCTGCTCAGCATTTACATGGAGACCCTGGCCGGGGAGGCATTGGAAAACTGGGGCCCGTTGGTGCTGGGTTCCCCACCGCGTACAGCCTTCCGACCCTGTCGAATAGACGTCAACAAGCAACAGGCCCTAGCGCCGTTTCTCCCGGCATTCATGATGCTACGAGTGATGGAGAGTTGTTGTCCATTGCCGCGTCGCCTCTAGCTGCAAGCGCATCTGTGTCCCCAGGCCTCAACGTCAGGCCCAGTAGAAGGCCCGCCATGCCGTCGAGCGCATCCTCACCAGACATCGAGACTCGCTCACACATCAGACAGGTCACCAACCGGTCTGCGAGGCACATGACCAGCTTTTCTGCTTTGGCCGCCGCCGCAGCTACTTCCTCTCCCTCGCCCACGTCGACCAGACAGGCACCGACGTCATCCGACACTCACAGCTACGCTGCTGCATCGCAAGCGGCAACGCCATATTCACTCTCCAGCGCTCCTGGTTCACCGTCCGTCGTCGTTTCGCGGCGCCAAGCGTTCAAGAAGGAGACTTCACATCACTCGCAGGATCTGTCACTCACTGCTGACCTAGACGCATACACGGACTGGACGACATATGGGCTCCCGGGCAATTCAGAGGCGCTACGGCTAGAGCAGGAAGCCACTGCGCGGACGAGGAGCCCGGCCCCCGGCGCGGATGTTGCCCGCAAAAGTGGAGCGCTTAGTGCCGGCTCGTCGTCGGCCACCTCTACGGCGGTGTCTCGCGCTGCTGCCTACACCGCTGCGGCGACCGGCATGTCCCCTTCCATGAGCTCGTCAACTGCCGCGAGCGCCGACATAGGTAGCTTCGGGATTACGTCGCCAGATGACGAGCTCTCGACGAGCGCCAGCACAGCCCCGGAGCCAGACGTCATCACAGAAGCCGCAGAAGCTGAGCTCTCGAAGGACGGAGCACGCGAACAAACACCAAATGCACAATCAAAGGCATGGCAAGGTGGGTCTCAGCCTGGCAGGCGCGACCGCAAACCAGCTTCGACCACACACCCCTTCGATTCGGACGAGTATGAAGAGTCAACCAGCGAAGAAGAATCCGTGTGGGGTGACATTGGAGATGAAGCTGATCAGTCTGGTCACATGACTTCTGCGGGAAGATCGTCCCTGTCCACCTCATCCGAGGACAGCGAGAATGAATCTGCCCTCAGAACCATTGACGACTCACAGCTTTGGGGCACACAATTGGAGGAGCTGATGGAGCAGAATGCAGCAGCAGCAGCGGCAGCGGCGGCAGCAGCGCAGCCATCAGCGGTTGGGACGCCGGCAGCAACTGGACAGCCCACTCGCTCCTCGCCGGCACATGCGCGGCAAGCATCCATTCTTCCTGGGGGAGTGGCAAATGCTTTAGCTGCTCAGTCGCAGCCGCGCATACCGCGAAGAGAAGGCAGCGTGTCTTCAGAGCGCGCTAGATCTGGGACCATCACGGTCTCGAATATGCCAGTCCAGTCTCCGGCAGGAACGTCTGCGCCAGCTCCTGCGACCACGCCCGTTTGTTCAGAGTCGGAAGTAGTCAACCATCTTGCGCCAAGCGTCGACCGGCTCGCAAGGAAGCCCCCAGCGATTCGTCGCGTTGAATTGGACGACGCCGAGATTCACAGCAAGTCATCGGAATCCAGTCTCGGCAGCAACACACAGAGTCTATCCCGAGACGGTGTCAATTACAGCCAATTGTCGACGTCTACGCACGCCAGTAGTCCCGCCAAGTCGGTCCCGCGTCCTTCCGGTAGGATCGCAGGTATACGCATGGACGAGATCTCCGCATGGGATCAGGCCACACATCCCATGTCGCCGCATTACGCCCTCTATTCATTCACAAACGGCATGCTCATGGAGGACTGGCGAACAGTAGCAGCCTTCAAAGTGAGGCCATTTGAGCTCATCGAGGTACAGTTTGCCAGGCAGAGAGACCGTGTACACCTACCAAGAATGGGCGAAGCCAATCTGGCGGTTACAAGCTCTCAAGCCGCAGCTACCGCGTCGGCATTAGCAGCTGCCAGTGCCAGAATGCGTATCAAAACGCCAGCATTGGACGAGCGCTACGTGGAGCCTTTTAGTGAAGGGTGGTACTACGTCTTGAAGTCCAGTAGCGGCTCTGGCAAACATTCTAAGGCTGGCTTAGGGACTTGGAAGCTTCGATACGTGGTTGTGCGCGGATGGATACTTTCGCTCTTCAGGCAGAAGCCAAGTCGGCCCGATTTGAGTGTGTCGCGCGGAATCTTCAGTTGGCACCTAGGCACCACAAGATGGGTCGTGACGGAAAGAGCAGACGGCGCAACCAGCCCGCCTTTGCGCTTTGGAAGGCTGGCGTCCGAAAGCATTTCGATCAAGTTCAACACTGGTGTTGCGACGAATTATTCTCAAGACGATGGCGAGCTTGCCCACAGAAACTTGCTCACTTTGCGCGCTCTGACTGAACACGACCATGAAGCTCTCTTCAGCATTATTGCCAGAGCGTACTACAGGCACGTCACAAACAGTGCCGACCCAGGGGAAGGCCTCAATATAGAAGCTTGGAGACGACGAGCGATTGCTCGCGCGACCATTGCTGGAAGAGGAGGCACTGTGCAGCCTGGCAGGGCAGGTCGAAGAGCAGGAAGGAATGCACTGGCTCGTGCGCGACTTCGGCCGAAGGGCATGAGTCGGGCCTTCGACGATGCCGATCGTTGGAGCAGCACGAGCGAGTCCGAAGTGTTCACGCCACCTCCTTCGCTCGTCAATGCAAGCGATGGCAATGAGGCCGCGCCAGCGCCATCCACGGCCCCGAGAAGCGCGTCAAATTTGCCTTCGACACACATGCCATCATTCCCCTCAAATTTCAAGGGCAAGCAGAAAATGGAAAGTCCGCCTGAGGCGCCCTCTTCCGCTTCGGAACGCAAGGCATCGAGTGCTCTGAAGTTGTCGGAACCCGCATTCCTGAGCAGTAGTCCTGCCGAGCAGAGTGCAAAGTCGCGACGCGAAAGGGAGGTCTCTTCAGCGCAGAGTGATGGCAGTCAGCTCCTCTTTGCAGCCAAATTCCCATCCACGCCAAGCAAAGTGACCGCCGATGGCACAGAGTCCTCGCCAAACCGCGCCGCCATCGATGGAGCAAACGCCGCCGAGCAACAATGGGATTCTCGCGGTTCGCCGCTGACCTCGCATCGTTTCCTAACGGAGGTAGGGAAGTCTCCGGAGCGTACCAAGCGTAGCTGGCGCATCTCTGCACAAGGTCAGCCCACTCCACGCCTGGCGGATCAGCCAAAATCATCCTCCATACGCTTTGACGCTCGTCCGCCCGCCTTTGAAGCTCCTGTCCGCCTGACCCTGACACCTTATGCGATCAGTGCGAGTCGTCCAAGCAGCCGAAGTGGCAGGACGCGCGCGCACACTGTCGCAACAGGTCAGGATGGTAGACCAGCTTCGCAAGGCGGCAGGGACACCTATTTGGATGGAAGCGCTTCGCATCTCCTTGGAGGCGGACACGAGAGCGCTTTGGCCGGAATGCATCACGCTGATTGGAGTCCTTCGCACAGCAGCACATTCCGTCCCTCGACTCCGACCAGCGCGACCCGTCTTCCGGACATTTTGGACGGCAGTCTGACGGGTCTTACAGGTCAGGGAATTCCGCGTCCAGCGGCTGATGCAGGTGCAAAAGCGCAGGAAGCGACCTCATCACCCACATTGCACCCAGACTTCCCAGGCGCCCTCCAATTTCACAATCATAGGAAGCGTGAAGAGTCTCATTCATAAGGTGGGTCGAGTGCCGAGGTGACATTTCTCTATTTTTTTTTCTCTCTCTCTCTGCGCATCTTTCTTCTTTGAGGCTGACCAATCGTTGGCCCATGAACAGACGGACCATTCGTGATTAATGTTCACACCCGCAAAACAGCCCAAACCTTTTCCCTCTTGGCCCCGATAAACTTCAATCGGCGTCAACGTACACTCCACGCGCCCTCAACGGTCACCTCTGTTGTATGTATCAATCAACGAAAGCTCACGGTATTAATGTGCCACCGCAATCGCATCCACCACGACGAGCCTGATCAGTCTATGCGCATATAAATCTCCCCCAATCGGGAAATGCCGAATCGCTTCGCACCGTGTGACGCTTGCTGGTCGATGCGGTCCGCAGGCTTACTAGAGCGAAGTACTGTCCTATTGCTTCATTAGAGTCCAAAAGGTAGAAAGAGACGGACATGGTGTGCATGCGATGTAGGAGTTCGTGCGGTTGAGCAGTGCGAGCGAGGTGGAAAGAAGAGGAAAGCCAAGATGCTAGTTGCCAGAGAAGCGAACAGCATGCTCGGGTGTATCAAGAAGGGGCTTGAAGAAGTGGGAGAGAGACCGCTACAGGAGGGAGTGTAGAGCAGTGAGATAGATCGTCAATCGAGGTGGATGTAGAAAGCGTGCAGTGCGGCGTTTGTCCGCTCATGCGTTTTGCGATGCGTCGTTGCTCGGATGAGAGCGAGCGTATCAGCAGCCGTCGATGAGCTTGTTCTTGGGCCAGTTGTACTTGTCTCTCCACTGCGTGACGTTCGGGTTGTTGTACACGTCCCCATGTCTGTTGATGTAGTCTGCAGTTGGATGATCAGCGGGATCGCAACTGGTCCTGTCGGGTTGACCATCGCGCTGGTACACCCTGACGTAGTCAACCTTCATGGTAGCGGGGAACTGGAGAGTGTCGAACTCGATGTGTTGGAAACCTTCAGAGATACCCAAGTTCAGGATGATGGAGAGCGGCTCGGTGGGGATAGGTCGGCGACCGATACCGATGTTGGGACGAGGAGGCGTTGAGGCGCCGGTGACTGTCCAGGTTTGCTGGCCATCGATGTACCAAGTGATGGAACCGCTGCCGTCGTTATCATAGTCGGGAACGTACTCGAAACCAAAGGTTGTAAAGGTAGGGTTGTTGGCGAGCTCGTATGCCTTGTTCGGGATGGGCGACAGACCAGAAACGGCCTCTTGGTACACACCACCAGTGTAGCTGTTGATCTTTGTTCCACCTCCCGGGTGAAGCACCGCGACGTCTTGATCCCAATCGTAGGCGAGATCGAATGGAGCGGTCTGCAACGACTGCGAAGCCTCGCCCACACCCTGCGCCGTCTGAGCTTCGAGCGCGTCAATTTCGGGTGAAGATCGACCGACATTGTTGTTGGGACCCTGAGCGCGTGTATAAGCGTGTCAGCATGCCAGGCATGCGAAATGTCCCACGCCTAACACTAGCGCCTATCCACTCACTGGGTGATCTTCGCCTGAGCATGTGCATGCGGGAAGCCGCATACCTGGAAGCCAGTTCAGACCCGTCTTGCCATACTTCACAGAAGTCACAACCGAATCTGGTGTACCATTTGCGATATCACTCTGATTCGGTCGGATCCCATTATCACATCCTTGATAACTGTACGGCCAAGTTCTTCACAGCGGCAGGAACAAGCAGAGACAAGAGGAAGAGGTCAGCGTGAAGCGCGCAAGGAACGTGGGAGGGAAGAGGAGGAGACTCACCCCTGTTGACAGTGTTGCAGTCGCGTGGATCAGAGGAAGCGCGGGACAGTCAGCTTCGGAGCAGAGAGATCGATGACACATTACGTACATCAGTCGTTCCAAGGTAGCCGGGACGACCTGTGATCAAGGAGCAGATACTAGAATGAGCCCGTGTGAGCATCACAGCCTTGCAAAACAACGCAACGCACCGAGGTTGCCCATGGTCCAGAGACCTGGCCACCAGCCCTGAGTGTTCGGGCTGCCAGGTAAAATGGCAGAGAATTCAATGTATCCACCTTGGAAGCAGAATTTATTCCCTGTGCGTACGCATGGGCAAAAGGTAGTATCTCATGAGCAAATCGGCATCTCGTATACTGAACAGCTACACCGACAAACTCACAGGACTGAAGCATTCCACTTCGGAAGTTGAGATTGTGAGTGGGACGATCCTCCATCGTGATTTGCAAATGTCCGTCAGTGGTGTTGATTTGCTCAGGCGCATACCATTCGTAATCTGTGTTCGAGCGTGGGCCAAGTCAGCGAGGTCTAATGGATGCAGTGACAAGCTTCACCATCTACGCACCGCCCGTAGCTCCGTACCAAATGTCGACTGCCGTCCAGTAGGGATCATCGCCGGGCCAAAAGGTGCGTCCTGGAGTGTTGAATTCGTCAGAGAAGACGCAGTGATGCTTGATACCATCGGGGTTGGTCCACTCCCGGTCAGCGGGAAGTGTATCGTTGTCTACGAGACCCAAGATGCTTGGAACATTTGGCACCTGCCCCGAACCATTAGTTCCGCCAATGTTGAAGCCAGACGTGTTGTCTGGCCGCTTCGTGTAATGCGCAATGATGGGGTAACCAGCGAAAAGGGCCAACAGACCTGTAACGATCACCACCAGGGCAAGCACGTTGAGGATGCCTCTCGCTGAGCAGGGGTGCAAAGAGTCTCCTCGCTTGGAGTCGGGGTTGTGCTGCAAGACAAAAGAAGCAGTAGCATGTTAGCAGCGCGCGCGCGTTGGCCACACTGTCAAATTGTAGCCATATGCAGGGCACGCAGGACTCACCAAGTAGTCATCTGGCTCTGCTTCGCCCTTGCCGTCCCAAAGCAGACCGTCCTGCTGCGGCTGGTAGTACTTCTTGTTGTCCCCGCCGTATGATGAAGCAGCGCTGTAATTGCTAGCTCTGTTTCCAGCGTCGTGTTGATTCAGATTGGCTCCCAGCGTGGCTCCAGCAGCAGCGCCACCAGCAGCATAAGCACCTCTACCCTGACCAGGTCTGCTTCCCATCTTTCCCATGCTTCCCTTTCGCAGATGAGAATAAGGACCATATTCCCCATTCGTCGTCAGGTCCCTCTGGCTTCCCACATAGCTGCCACCGCCACCGCCTCCTTGATTGTTTGAGATCATCGGGGAGTTGCTCGATCGACCCGATTCTGCAGAGCCACTAGCACTTCCGCTCGCATCTCCTGTCGAGCGCCTTCCCGGGGCGGGGAAGCCCTGCGGATTTCCGCTCATATTGCGATTGAAACTTCCGTCGCTGGGATTGGGAACGCTTTGATAGTTCGCTCCTCCTTGGTGCGCGTAAGACATGTGGTGTGATGCGCGCTCTAGGCAGCAAAATCGTTGCGATATGCGGTATAGTCAACGAGCGAAAGAAACGAATTATGTTCGTCAGGACTTCTCTACTCGAACAAGGTTGTGTCGCCGTGCGACCAGAGGAGATTTTGCGTTGGACGTCCTTCGGTGGAAATGGGCGGATGGTATTGTCGGTGCACGATGAGTTCTTGCGGCCAAGCAAGGTTACCGCGTATATACACGATTTTGACTTGCGCTGCGAGCGCGGGCCGGCCAAGGCATGAGCAGCACCTATTAAGATCGAGCGCGGGCAGCCAGCAGCAGTTTTGCGCCCATCGACCTTGACGGCGCGCAGGGGCAGGGCAGGGCGGTCGTGACAGTCCGCGCAGTCATGCGGCATCGCACCGCACCGCACCGCATCGCATCGCGCAAGAGCAGCTAGCATGCAGCAACAGAACAGAGCCTTGATTCACTGATTGCTGCAAGTTGCGTGTCGCCGAGTGTTTAGGGGATTGGGCAAGGTCAGGCGACGAGACGGTAGGCATAGCACCCGCGCGCATGAGCAGCTATGCTCAGCTAGACTGTACAATTATACCATGCATGCAAGTTTTGTGGCGGGCGCGGGCGGGGCTCGTGAGCGCGGCACGTTTCGCCGAGTCAAACCGCGGGTGAGCGGGGCGGGCCCACGGCTTCCGCGCGTCCATGCAGCAGCGCATACTGCTGTATATGCAGTGTGCAGCCGTGCGCGCTCATTCCAACGTGGCCAGCACGCAGACGGGTCGCCTGGAAAGAGCCAAATCATATGTATCAGCCAGTCATGCGCGCATGCAACCGAATGGACGCGCAACCCCGATGGACTGGATACAGGCCACACAAAGCTCAGCGTTGCGCGAGTGCGAGTGCGAGTGCGAGTGCGAGTGCGTGTGCGTGTGCGTGTGCGTGTGCAAGACAGCCTTCACCAATAACATGCGTCAACCCGGCCTCCTGAGCCTGCCTACGCAGCCAGTGGCTCGGCTCGCAAGATCCAGCGAGCACGCAGAGCTTTATTAGATTATTATTATTACATGAGCTCGATGGATCTATCCTAAGCTTAGTCTTGAGAATGGCAGCTAGGAGCCGGCCAAATGTGAATACTTCAGAGACCTGAGCTCGTCCATCACTCGGCTGGGCTGCCCTCTTCTGCCCGATACCAAACGAAAACAAAAGGTAGCCAGTTGAAAGATTCAAACTTGTCAAAACTTCACGAGTCGTGCCGAGGCGAGGCCGCTGTCAGTCCTGCATTCGTGGTTATCAACATCACGAATGCATGACGATGAGCCCTTTCGGCCTCACGGGACATCACTTGTGGTGCTCACCTGGGAGTGAGTGATTTGCACAGGCCGGCGGCGGGCGTCATCGAGGATGCAACTCAAGCTAAGATCCGAAGGGGCGCGCGCTGTGGTGGTGCCTTCTCCGGATTCGCCTGAGCTGGAGGTTGGTCCGGCCGCGCCTCGGCAAACATCTGATTCTGAACTCCAGGACCCTACAGGATAGTAAAAACGACACCAAATCAAATCTCTGCGTGATTCCCTCACAACTCGTGACCGATAATGTAAGAGCTGTAGGTACCCTCCAGATCAGCTAGTCGCCAGTTGGGCCGCTGAAACGCTCCAGCGAGCGGCGTGCACTCGGATTGGCGGTAGGCATTCGTGATTGCTGCTGCAGAGCCGGCTGGAGCAGTGCACGAGTACCCGCCTGCGCGACGGTCCGCGCGCTTTATGTCAGCAGCTCCTTGTCCTTTGCATGTTTTTCTGCAACTCGATCAGCCGGTCCCTGAACCAACAGCACAACAGCAGTGTTGCTTTCCAAGTCCGACGATGCCAAGCCTTGAGACAGCTGCGCTAGCGTCGAGGCACTTGTACAGTCATCCATGTCCTGCTGGCGGGATGAAGCAGATCGATCGGCAACTCCCATTCCGTGATTGGCATTAAAACTTGATGTGATTTCAAGATTCAAATTCGCGCTGTGGGCGGAAGCAGTCAAATGGTAGCGGATCTGTGCTGTCACGTGCAACGTCAGAAAGACCTTGAGCGCGCGCGACCTCCCCTTTCAATTTTCGAGGTGGAAAGGCTCGCAATCTCATTGGTCACAATGATCCACATTGTTATTGTTGATTAGTGATGTCCACCTAACGGTTCCATTGTACGTGACTCTAAACAGCCCCAGCTCAGACAATTTGTCGGCCGCGCGGGTGCATAATCTTGCAGGGAGACGAAATGGCTCTGCGACGCTCATGATGGTCTTCGACGCAGCGCGACATAAACCGTGATCATGAATCGTCTTTCGCCCGAATTGGCGGCTCCGTCTCTGATCAGCTGCTCAGCATTCGCCCCTTCTCTCCCTTGCCGTAGAGATTGTCGGGGCCACGTGATTTGGCTGGTCGTTCGAAAAGTCCAAATTCTCCTGTTCCATCTGTTGCAAGTACCTCTCAAAGCCAGGTTTGAGGCCAAAGCAGACAAAGAACATTTCTATGCTCGTATCTTTTGAAGCTTTGCACTTGACCAACCTGATGTGCTCGAACGCATGCAGCAGAGCTGTCGTGGAGCCCAACAGAGAAGACAACAGTCAGTCGTCTTTTCGAATGCGACCGAACGAGCGACTCGACTTACTCGACTTGTGAAATGCGTTGGCCGTCTTTCCAGGAAAATATTTGGCCACGTAGACGCTCCCTGCCAATCTCTGTCTTTCTTTCAAACTCGATTTCAACGATTTATCCCCGGTCGGCGAAATCTTATTAGGCGCCACCGTGGCGCTCCACTTGAGGTTGCGATACGCAAAGCTAAAGGAAGCTGTCAGAAGCCTGAGCATGGCCTCTTCATCTCGCGCCTTGTTGCCAGAGCTGAACGAAGGTGGCGCAAGTACAACTTGTTAGTGGATGACTCGCACACATTGGCGCTATGTGCCGCTGCACATAGTACTCACAGACTGGCTACAAAGATGGAAAGGAAGAGAGAAAAGAGGAACGTTGCGAAACTTGACAAGTAAGCATCAAAGACCTTTCGTTATCTGTCTAGCTCTCCGATGGAGCACAAGGCGACTCACGACACATGTCGCTCATGACGACATTGGCCAATCGCTGAGATTTGCCCGAAGGATCCAAGTATTTGTCAGTCGATTCCTGAAGTCTTCTGATCTCTGCCTCTGATGGAGGTTCCGATTTGCCCGGCGCCTTCGGTAGTGGATACAATTTCGGCAATGGGGCTTGGGACATCGCTTCACTATTGATCTGCTCCTCTGATGGCCTGGTTCCTGCATCATCACCACCGTCAACTTTTTCTCCGGGGTGCTCTAATCTCTGAGATTGCTCTGTGTTCTCAGAAGCCACTGGCGATGCATGAGGAGCGTTCGAATTCTGATTGTCTACCAGAAGGGACTCTTCCCGTCCAACTTTGCTCCTGATAGAATCTTGGAGAAGGAGCTGCACATCATGTCTGACACGGTTCAAAAACAAGGGCTTAGCCATGTGACGTTATAACTTGAGTCAGAGCGACGTTCCCCCTCACCTCAAGAAGTCACCATGGACAATGGTGGTTGAGCTATTCTTGAGCGCTTCCAAAATGTCCGACTTGATATCGATGGACCAAACCAATGGCTCGTCTTCCTCCTTCGTTGCCGTAGACGCGTCACCTCCGGCTTTAAGCAACAAGCCATGCTGTCTGGCTCTGTCTTCGCGTTGTCTGAGCGTGTCGATCGCCACTTCTGTCCAGCCTCCAGGATACGCCCCCAGATCTATTACCACTTGTCTCTCTGGATGTTCTTCTGACGGACCGCGAAGAATGTTCAACTTCGAGTCGAGCTCGAACTGCAACGAGCGAGAGAAAGGGAGGCGTTTTATTCAATCTGCTCCAGAGTGCCATGGACGGACAGGAGGCGAAGGCAGAGCAAAGACGCGCAGCACCACTACTCACCAATTTGTATGCGCTCTTGTTCTTGAAATTAATCTGCCGAAGGTTCAAGCCGGTAGATGCCAATTTGCCACGATAATGTATAGGCTTTAAATGATCAGGTTGATTCCTGTCTCTCCTGCTGAGCATCATCTCCACCGTGGATACCATTTGGTAAGTTCTACCGCTCGGCGTGCCACGTTGTTCGCTGGAACTTGAGTGAGGATTTTGAAATTTCGGAAACGTAGCGTATCCTTCGTCGGGCTCTGTCGAGTGCGCGTTTGATGCTTGGTAGCGTCTTCTGTCTAAGCCTGGACCTCCATCTCGACCTCCGCCTTGACCACGATCGCCTGGAGGCACCCTCCGCGCGGAGCTTGCGATACCCTTGTCATAGCCCGCTGGACTTTGTCTCCCCTCCCTCCCATGCCTTCTTCCTTCTTCTCCCCTTCCTCCTCTATTCCCCCCTGAGCTCGATGACCACCTCGGTAAATCTTGCTTGAAGTCATGATCCATATCTCTGTATGCAGAGAACTTGTCGTTGGAGGAGCTGGAGGCGAGTCTGTTCGACGAGCGATGAGCATGACATGCGCCATTTACTCTCAATTGTCGTGCGGGGAACAACCATTGCTGCTGAGAACCTCGAAGTTGACGCACAAAGTGAAGCTGGGGTGGGTTCTTCATCGCTGCCAAGCAATTGTCGGACCTCGTTTGAAGTTGGCAGCAAAGAGCGACAGTACGACTGGTGAGACGACGTAAATGTATGCCAGGACTCAAGGAAGGTTGCTATGATGACTGGGAGGAGGGGTATTGAGGCTAGAGGAAGACATCTTGCTCTGCCCCATCCTCCACCCTTCCTCACGATTCGTGATTGCAGACCTTCTCATCCGCGCATGCATAGCATAATTGCATTCTTGATTCGCGCCTCACCCAAAAATATAATCTTGAATAGCCCTTGCTCACGTGACACTCTTCATCGCGTGCGTGGAAATTTTGCATACAAGTCGTGAGTGCTCCCTCCGCCCGCCAGCATCTATATACCAAGAAGGGCCGGCCAGCTTTGTGTCTTGAGTGGGCACCCAGCAGCCAAAACTACAATACTCGAATGACATGACTTGTAGATCTGGGCTCCGAGAACAATCACGAATCTGCATGCAACTCAAACTGCTATACAGGCGGGCAACAGATGGGCTAGCTGCATGACGCGGTCGGCGCCAAACTCCACACAGGGGCCTTCCGCGGGACGGGCGAACAGCACGCGCCTATCGGTGTCGATCCGCATTCATGCACATTGTGATGATTCGTGATCGCGCTCCTCTCTTTCTCACACCAAAGTGCAAGGCTTTGACGCACCTGCAATACCGACTGGCACAGTTCACACAATAAACGTGGACGGATCTGCTGGAGTCCTAGAGTGGCCGAGTTGGAAAGGATATGGCCTCTTGGACGTCTTAGGGCAAGCAAGCCTCGCAGTGCTGTGAATCGCCGTACTTGCGAGCAGCCCAGCATGGCTGCCGATTCGGCGTCGGAGACCGGTACGGCAAGCAAGAGTGGGCTAGAATCTTCTCAGTCTCAGCTTCAGCACTCCGATGAGTTGCAAAAGTTGACCAAGGTGGCCAATGCGAGTCCAGAAACCACTTCTCTAAACAAGGACACCGGCGTAGAGTGCGGCCCCGTCTCGTCATCGCAGGATCCACTGTCCACTACGAGTGCCAAGCTGGTAGTGCCTGTCAGCAATGGTAGGACCATCAAGGATAATATCCCATCTCGACCTTCGCCGTCCGCAGCTTCGCAGCACCCTCAGCCGCTCTCTTTGCCCAGTCCAGCCTTGTCCTCCTCCCTGGGCCGCACGAGCAGCTCCACCACCACCACCTCTTCCTTGCGCCCCTCTCAATCTAGACTAGCTGCAGTAGGAGGTTCGAGAGGTGGTGTGGGAACGCAGTGCTCCATGCCTGTCAGGGGAGAACAGGACGATGCGGCGGATGCTGTGCTGAAGTTGGAACGCATGATTCAGCTGCGTCAGCAGAAGAAGAGGTGGAGAGCTGCGGCTAGCGTTGGATTGAACAAGCTATCTAGACGGTCAGGCGCGACGCAGCATCAAGGTGAGTGGGAGATGTCAGATCACTATGTGCATACAGGCAGGAGTCTTAGCCTGGCAAAAGGCGGCAGGGAGACAAGTGCGGCTCATCATCTTGCGTTCTGCATCTGCCAATGCGACCCAGATGACTCTTCTTCTGAAGAATCGGACCACGGCTCTCCTTTCGGAGAAGTCAGGCTGGCGATCTCTAGTCTTCCCGACTTCCCAGTCATGGCGGTTCGAGGAGCAGCTCACCGTGCAAAAGGTCTGGTAGGCCGATCGGGCACGATTACTGGTCGAAAGGGCTCCCCGGCCGGCGCGGTGCCGCAAGCCCAAGACGCCAGCGAGGGTGCCAACGTGCTGAGCGACACTTCGGACAGTGCGGCAATGGATGGTGGTGCGGCCAATTTCCGCTTCGGCAGAAGGAGAGCAAGTCAAGGAGTCTTGTCGCCTTCGTCTGCTTCAGTCAAGCGGGGCAGCATGTCTAGCATATCCAGCCTTCAACCACCACCTCCCACCTTACAAAGCTCGAGCAGCGCAGGTCCCGTCTTGATGCGCCCAGAGCCTTTGCGTCCCAGTAGCATGGAAGTTCCAGCAATCGAATTGTCGCGGTCAAGAAGTGGCGGACCAACTAGCTCTGTCAACGAGCTGCATGCCGTGAATGAGGAGGATGGCAAAGACCATGCGCAGGAGACGCCTCTTGTACGCGCAACGCCTCTTCCGGACGTCAGCGAGCAGCCGCTCCATGAAGAGAGGTACGCAGAGCAAGCTAGCGCCGAACAGGTGCGGGGGTCAACACAAGAGGTGCGTGCTGGCGCTAGCGCGGCCGAGGGCAGCACAGATACGCGCCTGCGTCGACCGACCCTCCTGGTGCAGAGTCCCACCGAAGCGCAGCTATCCTTCTCGGCACTGGACTCTTTCGCGCCGTCGACGGAGGCTTCGCAGGAGCTGATCGCAATCACCTCCTCAGCTCACAAGCCACTCGATTCTGCGACGTCTTCACAAGGACACACTAGCATCATGGGTGGAGCGCTTCACGATGAGCCAGAGGTGGACAGTGACGGCGTAGTGTTCGAAGAGTCCAGCAGCTCGTCGGATGAGCGAGATGAGCGACAAGATGTTGCAGCTCAGGCAGTAGGGGATGGCTACGAGTCTGGAGGATCTACTCCTTCTTCTGAGGAAGACGAAGACAAAGTGATGTCGCTGCAACTGGAGCATGGCTCACAGATGTCCAAAAAAGACGCTAAGCGCCTGTTGCGCGAACACAAGAGGGCTGCACGCGCGGCCAGATCAGCATCCATGAACGAAGGCAGTCTTCGTGGAGCCGCACTGGCAAGGGGCGAGAGCATCTCTGATCGAGTGCGGGGCGGACTCAAGTACGCCACTACGGAATCTCGCAATCGTAGAGCGATGGAGCGCTTTTCTCCGGCTGTGAACCGCTCTGGTGCTACTTCGCCCGTCACTGGTGTCGGCCAGGGCTCAATGATGAACCCCACATTCAGCGATCTTCGTCGGAATGCGACGACTTCTCGGAGCACCACACCGCTAAACGGGATGCAGCTCGCTTCTAGACGGGACTCGGCAGTCAGTAGCCGTCGCAGCTCCGTCTCCGAAGACGCTGCGGTTCAGCCCTTCTCGCCCACATTGAGCGAGAATGGCGACCGGTGGACTTTGTCGGATTTAGGCCGGCACCTACCTCAGCGCTGGAACACGTCCAAAGGAAGTTTGCTGGGCAGTCAAAGCGGCAAGAATCTGGGTTCAGTCAAAAGCGTGCGTGGACATCGATTGTTCAGCTTGAGGAGACGCCATCGCAAAGCGGATGAGAAGGAAGACGTGGACGAGGAGGAGCCGCCTTCCTCGCCCAAAGCGGAAGATCCTGCGCTGGAGCTTGAACGCGTGCTAGGAAAATTGATTGCGCAGCAAGCTCCGGAGGAGTTGAAGGAAAGGTACGAGTATGATGTACTGCACGAGAATCAGCGCGGTCTTTTGGTGTTTGGCATTCCCAAATTCAGTGCGAGGACGCTGCTCCAGTGGGACCCTGCGGCGTGGACGAATGCGAAGAATAGAGACTCGCCGTACAGCATCGTCAATGCGCAGCTGCCTGATCCGTCGTGGGAATGGGTGCATCCCGAGTGGCTCATCGACATGTCTGGCGACGTCGACGAAGCCGGCTGGCAGTACGCGAATAATTTCGGCAAGTCTTGGATACCTCATTTCAAGCGTCCTCGTGGAGCTCTACCGCGCGCTGGAGTCGTCGGTGCTATCGGGATGAACGAAAGGCTTGCGCGTGAAGAGCAAAAGGATCAGGAACGTGCCAGGCAGAGGGAAGATGATGGTTTGGAAGCTCTCAAAAGGTCCGCCCAGGCTCGTAGCGCCAAATGGCGCGCTGAAGGCGATCCGGGCACATTTGTCAGACGAAGACGATGGATCAGACTGCGCAGACGAAAAGCTTTGAATGAGACCGCGCCGGCCAGAACGCCGAGAGAGGAACCTGAACAGAAATCTAAAGTTTCTTCGGGAGATTGGTCAAGGTTGGTCGCACCTCCCAATAAGTCTGCAGATCCCTTTCAGAGATCCGAGAAGGTTTTGGCGAGCAAAAGAGGCACTGAGAGTCACCCTCAAGTGCTTGAAGATTCAGACAGCTTGTCGAACCTCGAAGAAGATGAACAATCGGAATCGGGAGACTCAAGCTCGTCGTCAGAGACAGGCGTAGATGGCTTCATGCCCCGCTCAACGCCGAAGGATACGGCTTTAGAGACTCTTGAGGAGCTGCAACATACCGACCCGAAAGAGTACAAGAGGCGTATCAGGCATCAGCGAGAATTCACCGGCACTATTCGTGATCTAAAGACTCTGCTCCCTGCAATCATGCACAAAGAGCGCCATGGTCACTCTCACTCGTGGTCTACGACTACCATGAAACAGCAACAGGAGAAAGAGCGCAAGACTAGCTTTTGGACGCAGGAATTGGATGCAAGGAACCCTTTTATCTCTTGGAAATTGGTCAAGAAGAGACTCAACGATGCAGATCTTGCCTTTGCTTCCACTTCTCTGCGCGCCCGAGAGCGCAGACACGCTCGACATCTCTTGGTTAGCACTTCTTCTGCACGGCATGATGCGCGCGTTTTTGGCGGGGCGATACCTTTTGCTGGCGAACGTGACGTGCAGGGAGGAGCGCACTCCGATCAGGCTCATGATGCTCCCGCCCCTACCTCTCCTTTTGACGACTTGACCAGATCTGCACTGGTGGAGATTAATTTCCGTCGGGTAGTCAGAGTACTCAGGGCGTGCAAGCTGGACAGACAGCGTCTGCAACTTTGGCAATTATGGCTAGGTTGCAACACGTCGGATCGATCGCGCACGCGTCCGACTATGGACGGCCCCGAAGAGGACATCGCGTCAAGCTCGAATCAAAAGCTATCATCCGGCAAGAAGCACACAGAATTTGGATTGCCGGATCCTGTGGATGTGTGGGACGTGTTGGAACGCCACTTGGACTTGGTCCTACTCCTGTTTGAATTTCAGGGCAGCAGAGCAACTTTGATAAGATCTTTGCTGAGCTTGCATGCAGAATCGCACCCCTTGCACAAGTTCAGACGGACGTCGTGGACCATTGGTGCGCCCATCGATGGCGTCTTGGCTCATCCTAATGCTCCACCCGCATTGGATCCCGACAGCAACTCGCGCTTTGAGGGCGTGTCAGCTGGTCGACCAGCTCAGCATGTTGGTGCGACGGAGGAATGGCAAGCGGCAGAAGTTCCTCGATTGGAATTCTTTTCGGACTTGGAGGCCATAGCTCGTAGCTATCTCGAAGAGCCGCCGCAAGGTGTAGCAGCTCATCAAAGTCAGCAACAGAGAGAAGCTCCCCACCTGCATAGCCCATCACCGGCAGGCCTACCAAGCCGCGATTCGTGAGTCGCCGTTGTTGCAAATTCTTCTAAGCGCCCCTTTGTTGACCTGAGGGCCGCGCTGAGCTTATTCAGTCCTTCTCATTTTACTCACCGACGATAGCAGTCCCTTTGGCATGTCGCGATCACCGCCACCCGCCTTGCGCTTTTCTCCAGCCTCTCGAGCACATACGCCGTTGCAGCAACTTCTGTCACCATGACATGACCATACGCCATTACGTCCTTGTGCCTATGTCATGCTCTACGAGACGCGCAGGATCCCTGCAACTATCCTGGCACCCTTCCTCGAAATTTCGCCACCGGGACGCCTGCTTCTTGATCCTATCGCAGTCCATTTTATACCCACACTTCCGATGGCGTAATTGCAATTCAATATGCTGCACACACAGCACTTGATCGATTCAATCATTTACATTGCGGCGCAAGGGCAAGAGGCGACATGCTCTTTGGTGAAACATCATCCCGACATTGGTCTAATCATTGAGTATTAAGCTGAAGCTGTAGCCTCATGATGCGTTAGCCATTCGATGGCGCGCAGCGAACGCAAGAGGACAGCTTGCGAGTTAGCGCCGTCAGCGAGTCCGGAAAGTACAGGGCTCTGCACTCTAGCCTGCTCGCTGTCCACCTGATCGTCATCGTCAGAAGATTTCGGAAGAACGGGCAGGCTGGACAGCAGTTCGTCCAGATCTTTGACCATCGCTTTGCCGGCAGCCTCAGCTTCTTGTCTCAGTGAGCCAATAATGACATCACGGCCACCAGGCACTGCCGTCAGGTTGGAGGCGATGCTGAGCGTGTGCTGGAAGCCACGAGAGCTGATGGCGGTGCCCAGGGGCTTGACGACAACGGCGATGCGCTCTGCCGGAATTACGGGTATCACGGTGACAGGTGGCGAGTCTCCTGACGGCTGCGATGAGGTCTGTGCCGGTGTGCCGAGGTTCGCGGAAGAAGTCTCGATTCTTGTGGGGGCCGATTGAGCCTGGGCCGAGCCAGTGCTGAGAGCCTCCGTGGGGACACCTGATGCAGTCGCGTCTTCTGCAGATCCATCATCCTTCTTTGTTGTTTCCTTGGCTTCAGCTTGCGGAAGATTTGTCAAAGGCTTCGTCACAGAACTCAAGCTAGATCGAATGGGGAGCAATGCAGGCATTCAACCTTTCAGTACCACATCTCGGTGACTTTCGTTTCGTGAAGCGGACTCTGACTTACAGTGCAACCAGCGAGTCTACGAGTTGAGGGTTGCCCAGGATGGCTTGTTTGTTCAACAAGCCCAGGAGAATGTTGATTGGCGCGCGCGGCTCCTTTGCAGTCTGAGAAAGGTCGGCTTTCTCTTTTCCTTTAGCAATCTTCTTAGGTCCACGCACGTCTTCGCGCAAGAAATACCAGGCGGTCTGCTCGCTGCTGTGAGTCAAGTGCAGAAGCGTGTCGATGCTGCGGCTCGCAATCAAGAACGGCGCCTCCTCACCAGTGCGCGAAATGGGCGCGCTGAGCGGCTGGGAAGCCGCAGGAGTAGGCTGAGATGGCGTAGTCGGATGACCACCGGGCGCTGTGTGGTGCCTCTTGGGGGGAGGTCGCGCGGGCGTGCCAGTCGACAGCTGACTTGTACGGACAGCCCGAGCGCTCATAGATGCATACGACTTGTCTACCGCGTGCGTATCCGTGATGCCATCAGCCAGGATCATCAAAAGCAAATTAAGGAGTTCCTCTCGGGTTCGCGCATTCTCTTGCACATTCGCAAGCACTTTGTGGAGTACTGTTGAACGACTGCTCATCTGAGGGAAGAACAGTAGGCGCACGAGCGTCGCTACGCCAGATTTGTCCAAGACTTGTATGGCGTCTCTGGACGAACTTTGATGTTGTCCAGCGACCGTTGAAGCTGGAACTTCTCTGCGCTGCACAATAGTGTTGCTGACTGTTTGACCGTCCGCCGTTTGATTTTGCCTGACACGCCTCAGGTGGTCGAGCTCGGCAGCTACGCCGGCAGGAAGACGGTCAAAGACAGTGTTGTCGCGTTGCGCCAAAGCCGCATCCCGGAGACCGGGATCCAGGGTGGCAATGAACGAAGAGGGATCCACTTCGTCCGACCGAGCAGCCTCGCGAGTAGGTCGAGAGGCCGAAGCTTCATTCCTGGTGGAGGCTTCGCTGCGTTCTGCCTGGGCGGTGCGCTGAGCCTCAGCTGCCTCGGCGCGCATGACCTCCGCTCTGATTTCTGGTGGAAGTGCTTCAAGGAACTCTGGTGCGATGCTGGAGTCAGTCAAGGCTGGCATGCTGGCGCCGGCGCGGCGCTCCCGGAAATGCTGATTGACGACCTCTTCGCGCATGTCATCCGGCAAAGCCTCAAGGAAAGTCGGGTCAATACCAGAATCAGTGATGTCGACCGTGCGTCCTCGAATCGTGGTCGTCAGGCGGGGCTGGGCGGGTTGTTCAGATCCGGAGGCGGCGGACGTGGTCTGTGGCGTTGCATTCGTCCGCGCGGACGCTGTTCCGCCCGGCTGCTCGGCACCATCCCGACGCTCCAGCTCTCCAAGGCTCCTCTGCAGCGACTCGAGCTCCATGTCCGCTTGACGAGAGTCCGCTGAAGGGGTGGATTGCCCCGACCGTTGCGGTGGCTGAGCCTCAGTGGCGGCGGAAGTCGCTTCCATCTCGACATCCTCGCCTCCAGTCTGGCCTGTCTGGGACAGTGCAATAGCTTGCGCCATCCGCGCCTGTTCGTCATCGTCTTCAGTGCTGTCTCGATTGCTGCTGGATCCAGCGGGTGCTTCAGACTCTGCCCCGCTCTCGGTCACCGAGTGCGATGTCTGGCCAGCAGCCGTTCGAGCGGCTGCCTCGTCAGCCTTGGCCTCTTCCAGCTCCGCAGCAAGCCTTGCTTTCTCTCGTCTGAACTCCGACAGCTTACTCTCTAGCTGGCGTTGAGTCTCCTTCTTCCGCTGTAGCTCCTGTTGACTTTTTCTGTAGCGAAGCTGCAAGACGTTCACGATGTGTGCAACCAGTCGCTCGGCGCTTTCGCTGACGCTAGTGTACACGAGGCGAGCAGCTTCTGACCACCGCTGTGACGTTGGCACGGGCAAGAATTCTTGCACTAGAGCAACAAGATCCGTTCGTTGGGGGCTGCGGCGCTGGCTGTGGGCAGCATCAGCATGCCGATGTGGCGGACGCAGATGACCATGACCAGTCAGAG